TCTATTATTAAGAGTAAAACACAAATATTGAAAACATTTGTCATCGAATTTGATATATAAAATTAGGATACAAAATATAATATTTTAAACATATATTAATAAAATTAAAAAATAAAATTAATACTTTATATAATTTGTAAAGTGCTTTATAAAAAAGAAAAATTCATCATTTCTTTTTAAATTGTGCCTAATAATTAAAACCAAAGAGAATCATTTTCGAATTAACTCTTAGGATGTGGATTTTGTTTTGTGAAGTGATAGAATTGTCACCCACTTGTATTATTTTAGACTTGGATTTTTTTCTCATAATTTGAGTCTTTAATTTTTTCTCAATTTATGCTTCCTTTCATCTATTATGTGACTTCTTTTAAGTAAAAGGTAATATATATTTTTTATTTGCTCAAAGATCATTGCCTAAAATTTGATTAATCATAAAATTGTTAATATATATGTTAGGATTTTTTTAGTACAGAGGGAAAATGTAAACAACAATTAATATACAAGACTATTAAATCACTTCCTAAGACGGCTCATACTCTAGCACGAGGATGCTTTCAAGTTTGATCTGAATTCATCATGCTAGATCCCCATGGATCAAGAACGTTAGCAACTTTGTTCACTACTCAGGAACATATATACTCAATATAACATTGCTAATTTTTAGACAAAACACTAGAAAATAAACTATTGATATTAATAAAGGACTTCAATTTAATTAATAGTTGTTTGCTCTATAAAAAATATATTTTAGTAAAAATATTAGTGATAAAATAACACTTTTAATGAAATATTTTTTTCGTATTGAGTGTTTTGTATACATATTACATTAAGTGTAAGGGTGATATAATTTAATTAATTTATGGGTGAATTGTGAGGAGTTGAATACTTTTTTTTGTTCGTATAAAAAAGCTTATTGTCAACCTAATTTATATTATAGAAAAAATGCCTCGTGTTATTTAAAATTTTTGCATTTGGTATTTAATTTACTATATATATTAAAGAACAACATATCGATTAGATATACACTTATATATTAATAAGAAAAATAGAAGATAACTGAATGTGTTTATTTCCAATACAACATAAAATTGAATTTTATGATCTTGTATAATTGAATTCAAGAAGTTTTCATACACAAATTAAATTACATAACAAAATTCAGATGAAAAATAAAAAAAAATAATTTTAAGAGATCTCATAAAATATTTATTAGAATCATTTTTATAAAGTTCATTAGTTTAACATCCTTTAAAACTTAAAGATACCTGCACAATCATAGAACATGAACTTTAAAGTCACCTTAATTTCTCGTAAAAATATTGGCAATAAAATTAAATTAATGAATAAAACAATAAAATTTAAGAGTAGATGTTTAAATGCTCTTAAATTCGAGTGTTAAGTTTGTATTACATTAAATAGTGGTCTTATGGGCTCGAACGATGTCGTTTCCCATTAAAGATAACTGTGGATCATAATTATTACCACGTTCATTTATATTAAATTTGTTCTAATGCCATCGCGCGTGTAAATTATGTATAAGATTTATATTATTATTTTTGGAAGAAAGATACATGTACATTAAAAAAAAAAAACAATTAAGCACCCATCAATTGAAAAAAAAAAAGTGTTACCAAAATATTATTTTCGTATGTATTACTTTGTATACATATTACATTGGTACACTCTATTTCAATTTTTAGAATATGACCCTTTGAATTTTTATTTGAAATATTGAAATCGAAAACTTTAGATTAGGATGAATTGAAAATATTAAAATACTTGATTTTAAAAAATAAGATATTACAATAAGTACAAGAAAAAAAAAAGAGCATATTCCACTAAATGCTAAATTATATCCAAAGAATATTCTTGTTCAAACCATACATGTTTTTAAAAATATTAATTATTATAATTATAATTATTGTTATTTTTGTTTAAAATAGTTTATAAAAAATTTACTATGTTAAAGAAAGATCAAATGAATCTATCACTTCGTATATTCATAGTGAACTATTATAATATACTTAATTATAAAACTTTGATAAAACATTTAGTAGTGAATAAAAATAAATTAATAAAAGTTAACTTACATTAAATTAAAATTTAAATATAAATAGACATGACGTGCATATACGATCGTGAGCACTGACTTAAGTTATATATATATATATATATTTTTTATAAGGATGAAGTAATGTTAATATACTGTTTAATTTCACAATCATGTGGTTGAGCCGCGAAGACCGATGAATTAATTTCCACAGCGTCAACATTTATGGAAGACTATTACTTCAACATTATAAATACTTGTAATGGATTGTACCTTCCCATCATCAACACATTTTTTTGAGTGATCATGGATTCATCTGCCTCCAATATTAAATTAATTTTGCTTTCTCTGCTATGTCTAATCATGTTCAGCTCTGTTCTATGCAGTTTAAAAGTTCACTGCAATAAGAAGGACATGAACACACTCCTACACTTCAGACAAGGAGTTATAGATCCGTCAGGCTTGCTGTCCTCATGGTTCCCTGAGCTAGACTGTTGTCAATGGAAAGGAGTTAAGTGTGACAATATAACAGGTAGAGTTACAGAGCTTAATCTTTTTTGCCATACAAATCAATCTAAAGTTGCTGCTTTGGAAGAGATGGACGACAAATCACATTGCTTAACAGGTGAACTCAGCTTGACTTTGCTAGAACTTCAATTCTTGAGCTACTTGGATTTGAGCAACAATGACTTTAAAGCTATCAAGTACAATTCAATAAGTAGTCAGAAATGTGATGACTTGTCAAGAGATAACTCCCATCTATGTGTAAACTCCACCAACCTTCATTATCTTGATTTATCATATAATTATAATCTTCTTGTTGATAATCTTCATTGGTTCTCACGTCTTTCCTCATTACAATATCTTAACCTTGGTGGTGTTCATCTTCACAAGGAAATTGATTGGCTTCAATCAGTCAACATGCTCCCTTCACTTTTAGAGTTGCACTTGGAGAGTTGTCAACTTGAAAACATCTATCCATCTCTTCACTATGCTAATTTTACATCACTTCAAGTTCTAAATCTCGCAAACAACAATTTTGTATCTGAGTTGCCTAGTTGGTTATTCAATCTTAGTTGTGACATCTCTTATATTAACCTTGGGCAAAATGAGATACATGGTCAACTACCCAAAACATTGCCAAATCTTAGAAGCATTAAGTCCTTGGTTTTATCTTTTAATTATCACAAGGGAGTCATTCCAAATTGGTTAGGACAACTTGAACAACTACAAAATCTTGATCTTTCTCATAATTTTTTTTCTGGTTCAATCCCTGCAAGTTTAGGAAATCTATCATCCTTGATCTTGTTGACGCTTGAGTCAAATGAGTTGAATGGAAATCTTCCGGACAATCTTGGGCAACTCTTCAATTTGAAGAAACTTGCAGTTTCAGAAAATATCTTAACTGGAAATGTGTCGGAAAGAAATTTGCTTTCATTTTCAAATTTGAAGTACTTTTCCATGAATTCGCCTTCCCTAGTCTTTGATTTTGATCCGGAATGGGTCCCTCCTTTTCAACTCAGAGTTATTATTTTGGGTCATGTGAGAGAAAAACTTCCCGCATGGTTATCGACACAAAATTCTCTAAAATATCTATCAATTGTGGACTCAACTGCTTCATTTGAACCTCTTGAGAAGTTTTGGAACTTTGCTACTCAACTTCAATATTTCAATCTCGTGAACAACACCATCAACGGAGACATATCAAATGTGCTGCTAAGTTCGACATTTGTTTGGTTAGTTTCCAATAATTTAAGAGGTGGCATGCCTCGTGTATCACCAGAAGTGGTTGTTTTATGTTTATATAATAACTCATTGTCTGGACCCATTTCTCCTTTGTTGTGTGACAATAAGACAGATAAAAGCAAATTAGTGCACTTGGACATGGGTTATAATCATTTATCTGGGGAGCTCACTGATTGTTGGAATAATTGGAAATCGTTGGTTCATATTGATTTAGGGTACAACAACCTAACAGGCAAGATTCCTCACTCAATGGGCTCTTTGTCTAACCTTCGATTTTTGTATCTGGAAAGCAATATGTTGTTCGGAGAGGTGCCTTTTTCACTTAAAAACTGTCAAAATCTTTGGATACTTGATATTGGTCACAATAATTTTTCTGGAGTTATACCAATTTGGTTGGGGCAAAATGTGAGGGGTCTTAAATTGAGATCCAATCAATTCAGTGGCAATATTCCAACACAGATATGCCAACTTCATTCTTTAATGGTTATGGATTTTGCAAGTAATGGATTGTCAGGACCAATACCCAATTGCTTGCATAATATCACAGCCTTGCTTTCTAGTTATGCTTCAACTCGTAAAGTCGGCTTTATCATTCACTTAGCAGAGTTCTCGATACCCATTGCATGTACTATTACAATGCTTATAAAAGGAAGTGAGAGAGAATATGTGAGTTTAATGAATGTGATTGATCTTTCAAGTAACAACTTGTTTGGAAATGTGCCTTTAGAGATGTATATGCTCATTGGATTACAATCCTTGAATTTGTCCCACAATCGATTAATGGGAACCATACCACAAGAGATCGGCAACTTGGAAACATTGGAGTCCATTGATCTTTCAAGTAATTATTTCTCGGGAGAAATTCCTCAGTCCATGTCTGCCTTGCATTATCTTGGGGTCTTGAACCTTTCATTCAACAATTTCAAGGGCAAAATACCAACAGGGACCAACTTGGTTTAACCAATCTTAGCTACATTGGCAATCATGGCCTTTGTGGAGCTCCGCTTACAAAGATATGCCCACAAGATGAAAAATCCCACAATACAAAACCTAAAGGAGAAGATAATGATGATAAATCTGAAGTATATTCTTGTTTCTACATGGGGCTTGGAATTGGATTTTTTGTGGGATTCTGGAGTGTTTTGGGTGCCATTTTGTTCAACAGGAGATGTAGACATGCTTATTTTAGATTTCTACATCGAATGTATGACATTATGACCCAAAAGATGAACTCAATCTAATCATTTTTCTTAAATATTTTAGTTAAATAAGGTTTCTCTCTCTCCCACCCATACATACAAGGTGTATATATTATAAGGATTTCAATCATTAAATTTGAATATTCACTTAAAATTACATATGTTATCATTATATTATTATTGTTATTATCATTTTTTTCTCGCATGTAATAATAATAATAATTGTAGCAATAATAATAATATAACTAATAATGATGATAATGAAAATGATTATAATTTTAAATGAAATATTTTAATTTATATGTCTATTTTAATCTAATGTTGATTATTCTCTTCCGACTTAAAAAAATGATTCTAATAGAATATACTATTAGATTACATGCATGTTAATTATACAAATGTTTGGATTATTTAAAATTTATCCTCCCATATTATGATGCAGGTCCTTGATATGTGTCTCGATAAGTTACTTCGTGTAAGGATCTTCTGCAAGAGGTGACAAGCTTGGTTGATGCGTTATTCGAGATGCATAAATAAAAAACGCGACTTGTATGTTCAGGTTTTTATGAAGTTCTATATGATTTGTGAACCGTTAATGTTATATATATATTAAATAGAATATATTTGAAGATGCTTTTAGAATAGTTATATATGCAATAAAAAAGAGAATATTTATCTGTAAAAAAAATAGAATAGTCTTCTTTATTAACTTTATTTTATTTTTCCACTTGCAACGGCTAATATGATTGAGTAAAGTAGTCTTAGGATTTTACAAATGATACATTGATTCAAACTCTCATTAGCATGCATATGAAACGGACTTTGTTAATAGTGATAAAATTCATTTTGGTAATCTATCTCTATGTCTTAAAAGAAAATAATCTCTAATTATTGATTGAGATATTTTTATTCACACATAAAAAATAAATAAATAAAATCTCACTCACTTAAAGTAACCAATAGTTATATTTTGAACTCGAAAACCTTAAATTAACTAGACATTATTTTTAATTCTAAATTTTAAGTACCACAGAAAACTTTATCCTCATTATTTGGTTAAAACTATTGTTCAACCAAATATATGGTATTGATGTCTTTATACTTTTTTCTTTGATATTTCTGAATCTTCAAAAAAATAGAAAGGTAAAAGTGTATAAAAGAAACAAAGTCACAAGCAAAAATAAAGGTTCTAGAGAAGAATGAGAAAAAAAAGAGGCAATTTTTATTCACGACTCATTTAAAAAAAATAAAAAATGAAATTACTTTGGACATTTTTATTTGAAAATAATTTTAAGAGGTGTATTGAATTAGGATTTCAAAAAATTATTATAAAAAGATCTTGTAATATTCAATTAAAACTTTTTTTTTATATAAAAAAGTTACTAATATTCAATCAAGATAATTATGATTTTTTAAGGATTTGTCAAAAATTAGTGATATTTAATTAAGACGATCAAATTTTTTTTAGGAATTCATCAAAATTTAGTGATATTTAATTAAGACTTTCTTTTTTACTTAAAAAAGTTTGTTTGTATAAAAATATAGAGATTTTAATGAATTATTTTGAATACTGGATTTAGTGAGACTTTTTAGTATAATTTATATGTAATTCACTCATCAAATAATCTTATAAAAAATTTTGAGGTTTTGTATGACTTTTTTTTCCTTCTAGTTTTTTTTTTCTTCAATCTTTTCTCTTACATTTCTTGTTTCTCTCTCATATTCTTTTTTTTCCTCTTCTTCTTTCTCATCATTCTCACTTTTTTCTTTTATTTTTGTTCATCTGTTTCATTTATCTCTTCTTCTTCTTATTAAATCTTGCAGTATTACAAATTTACATTTCCTATGAACTCCTTTAAAATCTTATAATATAAATCCATCAAAATCCATTAAGTTTCGAATTACAAAGTCTTGATCAAAATTCAAGTTTTAATTTAAAAAAAATCCTAAAAATTATGATATTCCTACAAAGTCTTTTAAAATTCATTAAAATTCACATGGCTTCTTCATAAAATTTTTGGAAAATCCAATACACCCTTTAAATTTCGATGAATATTTATTTGATATTAGTGCATTGACTTTTTTCCTAGATTGATGTGGTACTAAAAGAAGTACTAAAATTGCAACTCTATTAGAAGTATTAAAATATATTAAAAATTAATTATTTTTAAATTTATCAATCATTAATTATATATTAATATTATCAAAAGAAAATTTTCAAACTTTTATTTATTCAATTTGAGATTAAGTATATTGCAAGACAATAATTGAATAACTTTTATTGAGTACTTATTTATTAAACTTGAATAGACAATTTCACAATTCAAAAGTTAAGAAAATAAAGTGAAAAGTAATGTATTATATTAGAAAATGATTAAGGTCATGTTTATTTAAACATTTTTTCTAAAAAAAAGTTTTTTTTAAATAAAATAAACAGTGTTTTTTAGTGTGCTTATCTTAGTTGCATATTTAAAAAAAGAATAAGATTTTTATTATTTTTTAAAGAATCAAATTCTACCCGTTTCTTAAAAAAAAAATTAAGAAACATTTTTTTAATAGTTATTTTTTTAAAGTTTAACAAACACTAAATATAAAACTTATCCAAGACCTGGAGACTGATTTCAAAACACGCACTAAGAAAACATAGTTTAACAAAATTGGAGACCGAATGAAAAAGTTTTTATCAAAACAAATCATAATTGTATTTTGAAAAACAATTTATATATATATATATATATATATATGTGTTAGTGACGGATTTTAGTGACTAACTGAATTGATAGGGTAGGGCACATTTGTCATTGTGGCCCTAAACAACATACACCTCCAATACTTGTAACAACAAAACATGGGTGATGGCATAGAAGTCCATAACACATTACTCCTCAAAACCTACATATACCAAGGAGTAGGCGACATGTTTATTGTTTGGTATAAAGAGATCAATACAGGTAATCTGATATAGGAAGCAATGGGGATAATGACATGATTAAAAAATAATTTGTCATTTACATTTAGTACAGACAAGTGCTTCAAAAGTTTTTTTTTTTTACATATACTAGCCAACAAACCATAGATTAATTATTATATGGACTCAACATGATCTACTGTGCTTACATAATCTAATTTGGACAAATAGTTTATAGATGTTTTTCAAGTGTAATATTGACAAAAAAAAAATAATGAGTTTAACACCATAATCATTGGTCAACTACAGATATACGAAATAATTTGTTCATATTACTATTGTCGCCATTGTCATTGTGACTGTTATCATCAACATTACTATTATTGTCATTATTACTACCATTATCATTCTCACTATACCACCTTTGCATCACCATCGTTGCCACTATTGATGGTGATGATGATGACAGTGGTGATATCAATGATGATAGTTACGACAATAATAGTGATAGAAATAATCATGATAGCGATAGAATGTTATGTGATAATTTTATTTGTAGTCTTTTAATATAAGGATTGTTATTTTCATCTTCTCATATCAAATTAGAAACTATTTGATATTTTGTTTCATTAATTCAAATTGTTGGATATTCATAAAAACATTTGTATGTTAATTTGAATATAAATAATGAAATATCATATGATTTTCAAACTTTGCAAAAATTTGTAAACTTGATCTATATAGATTAAGAATTTCTAATTTAATAGTAGAATTGTTAAAATTCAATATAAAACAAGAATTATTAAGTGTGATAAGTATACCAAGACTTATTTTCAAAATAAATGAATCCCTTTCATATATGTGTGTACACGCTTGTAATATTGAACATTAATTTTATTATTAATGACTAAAATTACATGATTTACCTCAACCGTAGGATGATTACCTTAGAAGAATCATATCCAATAACTAAAACATAATTTTATCATTTTAATATGTTTGATTTTACTTTATTTTATATGTTCCGACTTTCAATTTGATTAAAATTTATTTAAATTAATCTGCTAGTAAGAATTTAAGTAATTTGTACAAGACCTTATATTCAAATCTCGTTGTTCTTAATTAAAAAAAAACTACAATTTTATTATGTTGCACATCCAATGTGAGATAATGTAATTATATATATATATATATATATATATATATATAAACGTAAATTACAAAAGCACATATCTTAAATCAGTGAACTTACCATTATTAATCTATAACCTAAGGAGGGTGTGTTTAAGATAAAATTTTATGTAATTAAGCATTATATTGGAAAGGCTAAAGAGTCCAGGACATAGAATATAATTATTGAAATATTGATAAATAAATAAAAAAATTGTCATAGGATCTTGTTTGGACGGTAAGTGTCTATAAAAGAAAAGAACAGGCTAAAATAAATTTATCTCTTCTTACAAGATAAACTTATTTATTTTTATTTAGATCACATATTTCAAAAAGGAAATATTTTAGTCGAGATAAAACATCTACCGTAGATAATAAAACTCTCCCCCCAAGTGATTAATATAATGATTGGGGCTGAGACTACTAAATAAACTGAAACCTCGTGCCAATTAATTCATGTATTTAATAATTGTTAAAATTAATTTATACATAAAATAAAATCAGAGAAAAATCTCCTCTATCGAGTCATGAACGAAAATTCAATTTAGGACTGAATCATAGGCTTCCGTTAATAAGCTTCAAAATCTGCTTTCCTCTCCCCCCACCAATAACCGTGTACTTGAAACTCACTTTTATGTGAAATTGTCATTTTTTTTTCATTTACATTTCTGTGTCTAAACTAAATGCAGTAACAATAAAATAGTACTAATGAAAAGTTGCTAAACTTGGTGCAAAAAAAAGGGTTAATCGTGTTTTCCAGGTAAATTTGCCAATATTTTTTATTTTATAAATATAAAAACTAAATTTACTTTTATGTAATGAGACCAAATCGACTAATGATGTCAATTTTTGAGACCATATTTGATGTTTTTTTACTCAAGTAGAAATACAGCATACCCAAGCCCATTGCATAATAAATATGCACATCCTTTTTGCAGACTGAAATATACCGACAGCATAAGATTAATGAAAACAGAGAAAACAGAGAGAACAGAGAACGCCATTATTACAACATAAAAGTCCAATAAAGTCTCGAGAAAGAATAATGAAAAACTACAAGATACAACGCGATACTATGATAAAGATGTTACTCGGACAGAATTATCAGCAGATCCAGTCAAGAAAATAGGTAGGGTTGGATGCCAATCCACAGCAGTAATAGGAGCACTGTGTGGCAGAGTTTTCCATCCACTCAAATGGCCATGAACCTGACACAAGATAAACAGACATTGACAATTCCAGATAACTATCACCATGACCGAAAAAATTCAAGCCAAAATATACTGGCTATTATAAGTCAAACAAATATATGATGAATAAGTAAATTATAATCCATTCAAAGCTATGGTCTAATCACAATTCACCACGAAACATCACCTGGTATATGGGTGCTCGCACTGAACTGGATGTTACCAAGAGTCTCCTCCCATTTGCATCTAATGCCATCTCATGTCTGGAATATTTTGAACCGTTGAGGGGGTAACAGAACCTACGAAAAGTAAAAAATGGTCATGCTGAGAATTAATTATTTAAACATCTTAAACCAAGGATAGAAGAAGTAGCAATAAAGAGATAAATTTTTTCACAATCATTTATAGAAGTAATTATCGATGTTAGAATAAATTAATTTTAACTTCTGAAAAACTTCTATTTATTTTAGATTCTTATTTTCTTCGCTTAAGTGTTTATAGAAAAATTTATATAAATTACTCAAAAAACATATTTCACAGCACGCCAAAAGAAATATATCATGCCTAATATTCCACATATATTGCAATCAATTGTAATTGATGTGACGTAACCAGTCCCAAATCCCCCATAGTTTGGATTGTTATACACAAGTTTTATACTACTAGTAATAGTCTAAATAAAATACTAACATTTATATCATTTGAATATCCAAGTTATTTGTGACTACAAATTACCTACCAAAATACAATTATATACAGTGAATGCTGGGTTTGAAATGGGCGGTTTTTTAACCTGTCAGGGGTAATTTTTTTCGAAAATTCCCAAAATAGACAAATTTTAAAAATTTTCCCAAAGTGAGTAAATCATTATTGTATAACAAAACTTTCAACAACTTTTACTTCTTTTTTTTTTCCTTCATTTTAAACAAAAGTGGTGATTCAAGATCACGAATTATAATATTCTTTTTAAAAATTTCTTAGTAATGTTGCGGGTAGTCAAATTTTTTGTGTTTTTTTAAAAAATAAAAAAAATTGTTTAAATAATATTTTTTACGCAATTTTTTTAAAAAAATTAAAGTCAGTGTTTGTGAAACACGTTTGACTTACAATTTCAGAATTCTTTTATAAGTTACCCATTTCAGGAATTTATTAAAAAAAATTACCCCTAATTGGTTTTTTTAAAAAAATAAAAAGCCAAAAGGGACAATTAAAAGAAAAAAGTGATAGTAACAAAAATAAAGTTGAAAGCAATGAAGATGTTAGATTGTTATTTCTAGTATTTTGAAGGAGAAAAGTCCTTGTTAGGAGAAAATCTTATCCTTGTTGATGCTTGTACTCAAATCTGGCATTCTGGCCTAAAAACCATATTTTTTCTATATTCATAATCAAGTGTGTTTATTTCTTGAGTCCAATATATGACAACCCTCTATTTCATGCACCTAATTTTCCTACCTTTTGCAAGTAAAAACCATTTTGAGCTGCATAACAAGAAAATGGAAACATTGCAAGTCTGAGCATAAGGTGTCAAACTAGAAATATACCTACTACAGTCTCTCGACCACAGGATTTGACCTTGATTTTGCAAACTCCACTCAAAAATCTGACAACAAAGAATGGAATAACATTAAATTAATAATACTTGCCTTCCCGTCACAAGCTGGAATAACATTAAATTAATAATACTTGCCTTCCCGTCAGAGCCCAGGCTAAAAATGCTAGTCTCGTCTGGTCCAAAAAGAATGGAACTGATGGAAGAATCATGTGCAGGCCAGCCAGTTATTTGTAGACCAGCAGACATGTCTTCGAAAAGTTAAGGATGATATGATTGTCAAACCATGTGGTCACTGCTAGTCACTAGAACATTCAAAATACATTACATTCTATTATCTAGATAAAAATTGCAGATTTTATTTCACCGAATAACTGATCCAATAATCACAAGGAATCTCCAGAAAGCACAAAAAATCTTGTCAAATTGGCAACTACAGCAAGGGAAGATATAACTTACAAAATAAAACCAACTGTTGAAATTTCGCAGATTTAGGTGTGATGGATATTATTGATAAGTAAATAAGAAGCTACATAATTAAGAGAAATTGGAACCAAATTAAATAATAATGGAAATTGGAAAATATGACAATCAAATTAATATAATGGAAATATGTTAGCAGCAACAAAATGTTTTATTCCTTAGATGAATCACTAAGAACATCAAAGCAAGAAAGTAATCAAATGAATAAAATTAAGGATACCAAACATGTGAATCATTCCATCAATGGCAGAAGCTGCCAAAATCTTTCCATTGTGATTAAAGCATAGAGAAGTAATTGCTGGCGGATCTTCTCCAAGAGGAAGGACTGTCTTTATGAAATCCAAAATTAAAAATAGCCATAAAACAACAAAAACATAAAACATTTTATACAAAGAAGCACATACCATGGCTTTCCACGTCTTCATGTTCCATACAGTTAGTGAAGCAAAACCCAGGTTGTCCATATAATTGGAACCAGCCCTACACAGATAGTATGGCCCTCATTCCTTGCTAAAATGTGTTTGCAATGTAATATTAAAAAAAAGTGAGGAACAGAATTAATAGACATTAATAAAAGATGAGATAACCTGACCAATGGTATTTAACCATAGTTTCATCTTATCTCCCAAACCAAAACAGCAAAACATACTGTAGAAGAATTCAATAATTAAAAATTTAACAAATACCCTCCAGATGCAGCTGCAGACACAAAAATAGGTTCCACAGGACTGCACTTTATGTCCAATACACTGTAAAAGCACAAATGAGTCCAAGAGTTAAAAAAAAGAATGAACAGAAACCAGAAAAATACATAAGAGTATAAGACTTAAAAATGTTTTATGTCCCTATAGATTTAGAACAGATTTTGTTTTAGTCCTTTTATTTAATTTATTTTTTTGGTCCCTGCAATATTCGCAACGCATTCATTTGTTTTGGTCCCCACCATAACATTCTGGAATAAAACAAAAATCACTGTATTTTACAAGGAACTAAAAGTAGGGAGTAAACCAGAACTGCTATTTTTGTAGGGAGTAGACAAAAACTGCTATTTTTATAGGGACATAAAACCAAAACTGCTGTATTTGCATAGACGTAAAATATATTGCTGTTAAGGGCAAGTTCACAGCAGGGACCAAAAATGATGAGCATTGCAAGGTTAAAAAAAATAGGGAGTAAAAGCAAAAACTTCTGTATTTGCATGGACCTTCAACATATTTAAGCCAATACATAATTAGGAAATACCTTGGAAATGCTTCAGTTGTGTTGAGGTCACAGACGACTCTCTTTGCATCCACATTCCATGCCTTGATGCACCCATCAGATGTACCTATAAGAAGCTTTTTATCAAGAGGAACAACTTAATAATTTGATTTTATAATCTCATAATCATTCCAAGTGAAAAAATTCTATCACCATGAGAAATCAATTCACATACCAGTCGATCTGATTTACATTCCCAGTCAAGCGACAAAATTTCAGTGCCACAATATATGGTTGCATTTCTAGACACTGGAGTTGACGTATCATATGTCCATATCCTTCATTAAAACATGCAGAGAAAACAAAGGCAAAATTGCCTGAGAGAGATCATTAAAATTAAGGAAAAGTTGCAAATACTCATTGAAAGGTAAAAAATAAAAATTAATGAAGGGAAACATATAAAGGGCATTTCATAAACAAAAACGTATTGTAGCATCAAGTTTTATTTCTTCTCTATTCAATTTTGTATGTGTAGTTGATGGTATTGTTCTAAATACATCTGAAGGGATCTAAATTGTGGCAAATGAGTACATGCTACAGCCAAATAATTGAGATTTGAGACTAATAATTACATGAAAGCTATTCCACTTTTCACTAAAGTAACACTTTACATCAACTCCCAAATAGTGTACCTGACAGTTCCATCCAGAGAAGCACTGGCAATATTGTTTCCAGATGCAGAGAAGCGACAACAACTGATTGGACTGGTGTGCCCCAAAAATGTCTCCTAGAAACCACAGTGATTTGATATTCACACAGATTCCAATAAAACATAATATACTATAGTAAGGAAAATGAAAATGTAGAACGGTGGGAAACCATAAATAAGACTCCATCGGCAATGTTACCTGGTGTTCTACTTTGACCTCAGCAAAATCTTCCTCATAATCTTCCTCATCATTTTCTGCCACAAACTTCATTGTCAATTGTTTATATCCAAATATACAATCAAGGATTACTGAAACATTTAGTGATTGCTATCGCAGCCTAAAGAACAATGTATTTCAGCATCCAGAAAATTAGGTGTGATTTCAAGTTTAGATAGTGCATCAGAATCTGGTGCTGAATAAGTGAATACAAAGCATGACTTTTAAGAGATAATAGGTAATAATAAATTGACTGGTTGCTTCCTTATTTGAAAGTTTATTAAACAAATACAAAGTTTTATAGTTTCATTTCCAAGAGATCTGCAAGACTTCAACTGATTCAATAACTAAAACTGGTTTACATGTCTGATACCTTCTTATGCTTGCAGGGTCCTGTGACAAACACTATCATTTGAAACCAAAATAGATCTCTCCACATACAAAATCAATATTTTGTTTTAGTGCAATTTGTGCTTGCAAGTTGCGACTTGCAACTAGTGCAATGCAAAAGTATAACCAGAGATTTTCATTTATTTCCCAGAGCTCACAGTCATCTAACACTATTTGTTCCTAACTTTTCCCAGCAGTTCAATGACTAGTTAACTAATTATCTTCTAAGAACAATAATTCATCATTTTGAAGATGTCCGCACACAAATTTGAACAAGTCTATCCACTTAAAGTAGCCATTAACTGATCTACTTGCTTAAAATACAATGACCAGGCAATTAATTAATATCACTTCACAAAGAGGGTGAGCAGCCTTGAAGTATATATGTATGCCTATATATATGGGGACCGTGATGACCTTTTAGAGTGGCAATGTCAGCTGCATTTCTCAGATGGTCACTCGACGCAAAAGTTGAATCATCGTCGGTGGTGGAGCCAATCAACTCGGAATGAATATTTCCCCCTCCATCCACAACTAAATCCTGGCTAATCTCCGTTTGACTTACACCAGATGTACCAGCTGGAAAAACCTCAGGAGAATCTTTCGACAAATGAGCACTTTCTTCACGCAAATTGCTCAATGAACCAACCCCCCCTTCCATACTTCAATCCAAATTAATCAGAAAACCAAGCATGTCTCACAGACACCAAAGCACTGAACAAATAAACACACGCTTACCTTCTAAATTGGCGTAACTGCGCCTCTTTCTCATCAAGCAGAGCCTGAAGTTGTGACAACTTGAGATTTAAATGCAACACATCTCGTTTAAGTAGGTTATTAGCATTCATCTCTGAACTAACCTTCAGCAGCGCAGGTAGACGTGATACAATATTAAGGCTAAACTTAAGACTTTGTGAATTATTAAACAAAAGAGCGAAGAATTAAAGAGTGTGGGTGAAGGATATGAGTAGCATTGAAGACCTCGCTAAAGAAGTTTCTAGAAGAAAGATGCAAAGCCTGGTACCACTCCTTGGAGAAAAAAACCCGAAACTCGGGATCCAAGTGCGGGTTCTTTTTATAAGGAATCGCTGCAACACAAAAGGGCGAGTCAATATGTCATGATACAGAAACAAAAAACGACGATAAGAGAAGCGAAACGCACCGAACCAGTGAGTCCAATCCTGCGACCTCTGCAACAATTCGGTGCCGTGGAGCGCGAAGAACTCGACGACCTTGTCGGTGCGGTTGCAGTGCAGAGCGTGGACGACGTAGAAGCGTAGGAGAGAGGCCTCGAGCTTGGAGAGCGTGGAGAGGAGCGGCGTGTCGGAGGAGGAAGAGAGGTAGTTTTTGAAGAAGCGGAGGAGGGCGAGGAGCTTGTCGGCGTGGAAGTTGGGAACGTAGACGGAGAAGATTAGGTCGAGAATCTTGTCGACCTCGAAGCCTTTTCCGATGTCGGTGCGCAATTCGGCCTCGTAGGCTTCGAGAGTGTTGGTGAAGCCGCGGAACACCAGAAACTCCCTCACCAGCTCCTCCGCGTGCTGCATCTTCTCCATCGTTATTCGATTGGCATGAATCGTTCAGGGCTTACCGTTACGGCCTAGTATCGGATACTGGTTAAGTTCGCCGGCGATGTGTGTTTGGTTTTAACTTTGAAGAGTGGTTGTTACTTGTTACTTGTTACTTGTTACTTGTTAGCACCCAACACGTGCCTGCACGTGCCTCGTCTCCCATCTCGCTCAATGCTGATTCTTCCTAAATCCTAATCCTCAACCTATCTTCACTTCCAATCTGCTAAACCGCTTCACCCTTCACCTTAACTTTTAACTAGATTAATACTTTTGATAATTCTTTTTAGTTTTAGTTATAAAAATTTGTTTTATATTTTTAAAAATAGATAAAATGATCAAACTGTGTTTAGTAATAGATGCTTCTTTTATTGATATATTACGAGAAATTTTTATATGTAATGTTAATTAAAAAAAGTTTAACGTTTGTGATTCATTAAAAACAATAATTATTAATTTGATAAACACATACCATAAAAAAAACACTATATAATACATGTCAAAATTAACTCGACTTCAAAAATAAATATCCAAACTTATCATTAAAGATATCGCATAAATTATGTTTATTTTATAAATAAAAATATTATTTTTTTAATTATTTTTTATACAACTATTTTTTTTTAGTTAAAAATAGTCTTTAGATATACGAGAATAACAAACGCTCTAACGGTAACAGTAATGTGCGTGATTTATTATAACTGAATGTAAGACAAGCATGTTACAACAATTGTGTCATATCTTCCCTACATATAGATATTCCTTTCCGGCATTAAACTGAATTTTACAACTTACAAAGAAGACAAAGTTATGGTATTTTAGTGCAATTTAGATCTTTTCTTACAATTTTCTCTCTTTAACTACTTTCTTATAATATTAATAATTATTAGATATATCTAATCACTCAAATTTAATCTTTTCGGTGAGGATGGAGGAGTCATGCTATTTTACCACTTGCTTTTGTTTCTAAGGCAAAATCAGGTTCTTTTCCCAAGCTGGCAGGTGGGGTGTCTTAGTCATTAAATAATTTCGTTGTTGCATCCAATAGCAAGTTTCAGGGTTCAAAGTCAATTCTTGGTTTAAAAAATTCTCACCATGATAGTGAGATTAAATATGATTTATATATATATATATATATTTTTAATTCATTGAAACCTATCTTAACTATCCAACGAATGTAAAACCGCACAATACTTTGGTGACTCTTAACAATAACAACGTATTTCATTTTGTAACGAGGCAACCAAACCAATCGAACATGGATACCGATGGAGAAGATGCAGGCGCAGCACATGATGGATGTTATGCTGGTAGAATATTCGGACTGATTCTCACCTCTTAAGCCCGTTAGGTTCAGTGGGTAGGGCCCAAGTAAAGCTGTTTAAAGTGAGTCCAGTTAAGTTGTGAAAGAAGTGAAGAGTAAAGATGAGGAGCGAATCAAGGCCGGTGCCTCGGAGAGAGAGTCCATGGTTGAAGGGGGTATGTTTTGTAGCTTGCTTTGAAGGAAACCCATTCAAGACTGTTCCAGGACCCTTCAAGCTCTTCTGGCTGTAGTGCATGCGTTCAAAACCCGGGTCAGATTATCAATTCTATCATTTTATGAATTGATTCAACATTGAGCTCCCAAAAAACTTCTGTTGTGGAGATAACCTAGGAATGTGACAATTTTTAAAAATTACAGGACGTGATAAAGTTTTAAGTATCAAATTAACATCAAATACGAATCTTAAATCAAGAGATGATCAATGTTTAGGATAAAATGTTATAGTTTATCTCATTGTGATATAGAGACTAATTGAGCTCAGAAACCATACTGTACATGTTTGTTCTTATTTTTGACAAAATAACTCAATTCTCTTCAACCAAATTATGGCTCCCAATTTGATCATTTTACTACCATTACTTTCTTTATATATGATGGTCCTAGCTGCATGTTCAGATGCTAGTGGGATTGCTGTCTACTGGGGTCAAAATGGAATGGAGGGAACCTTAGAAGAAACTTGTGCTTCTGGGAACTATGCTTTTGTGAACATAGCTTTCTTAGCCGCATTTGGGAATGGCACAGCGCCAGCTTTGAACCTTGCAGGTCATTGTGTGACTTCAAACAATAGATGTGCCACTCTGAGTTCTGATATTTAGGTCTTGCCAAGCCAAGAACATCAAGGTAATGCTCTCCATTGGAGGAGCTACTTTTCAAAATTATACTCTTACTTCACCTGAGGATGCTAGGCAAGTTGCAGTGTACTTGTGGGACAACTTCTTGGGTGGACAATCCTCTTCACGGCCCCTCGGAGACGCTGTTTTGGATGGAATTGATTTTGTCATTGAGGGTGGACAGGTTCAGTACTGGGATGAGCTTGCAAGGAACCTCTCAGGCTACAGCAGCCAAAACAAGAAAGTATACTTAACTGCAGCACCACAACCACAATGTGTTTTTCCTGATGCTGACCTTGGAACTGCTCTCAATACTGGCCTATGTGACTATGTTTGGGTTCAATTCTACAATAACCCACCCTGTCAGTACACTACAGGAAATGTAGTTTATCTTCAAAATTCTTGGCTATTGTGGACTTCAAAAGTTCCTGTAGCTAAGATTTTCTTAGGGCTACCTGCTGCTCTTAATGCTTCTAACAACGGTAGTGGCTACATCCCTCCCTCTATACTAACTTCAGAAGTTCTTCCTGTTGTTAAGAATTCAACTAACTATGGAGGAGTGATGCTATGGTCGAAGTACTATGATAATCTCACTAACTATAGCTCCTCCATCAAGAATTATGTTTGACAAGTGAATACTTTATAAGCATGCTCACTTCCCAGTTCCCACTGATTAATAATTTATCTTGCATAAGCAAGTAGTACTGATGTTTGTGTGTTTTGACAGGTTCCAATAATTATGTGCCTCATGAAGTGTATTGAGAATCATGTTGCATGTTTGGCAAATGTACCAATCGTTACTGTAGTAATAATATTATCGTCTTCAGGGATTGAATTTGTTGAATACTAGATTATTAATTTACATTAATTTTGAGCAATTGAAAATAGATAGAATAACAAACGTAGAAAATTAATAAAAATTCAATATATTAAAATTATTAGAGAATTGATTTCATATTCTTTCTTATAGATTCATACCCTTTTCAATTGATGCAAAAATTGTAATTACTCACTTGAATTTATTAAGAGTTGTTTACCCCGAATCCCTTAGGCAAGTAAATATATTCATTGAATCCAATTCCTTAGGACAATTATGAAATTCAATAGAATCATGAAGAACAATTATTATCTCAAACACAAACTAATTAGATATGCACAATTTTCCAATTGTGACAAAACTTAATATGTTCTATCTATAATCGTAAACAATCTTGAATCTTCCAATTGTAAAATTGTTCATAGAATAAACATTAGAGACATAGATAGAATACTAGGATAATTAAAATTAACCAAATATCAATTGAAAAGGTTTAGAAACTATAATCCAGAATATTACACCAATACTTTAACAAAAAGAAAATTAGTTCTGCATAATGTAAAAGGAAAAATCAAAAGAGACTGATGAGCTGTTCATCTTCCGATGGTGAGTTGATCTCCTCTTGATGAGTCGTTCCTCCTCCTAATGATTAGTTGCTTTTTTTTTTCCCTTTTAATTATTTCTCTTATTTTTAGACTCTTTTGTTTTTTTTAATCCCTAAGAGTTGTTTTTTCCTCTTCTTTTCATTTGGCCCAAGTCCACAACTTGTCTATAGAATTTTCTGACTTCAACTCTTCCATCTTAATACTTGTTCTCTTTAAACAATAATTTAAACACCTAAATTATTTTAATAATATAATTTATTGGCCAATATTGGTTTCAGCAAAAAAAAAAAAGTTGGCTACATTTAATAGTTTTTTATTGAGCTAATGAAGACACCACATGATAGTAGGCTTCATGTATACCAAATGAGAATCATGTGACTATATCACACTCATTTAATTCCATAAGGACTGGTCTTTATGTTATATGGCAATTCCAATAATTGTAATTCTTACTACAATCGCATGTGTAGTTTTACGAGTAAAAATAATGTTACAATTGTGAAGTCTTGTAAACCTTCCACGATTTTCCCCTTAATGATATAATTTTCAGATCGCACGAAAAGGCAAATTTCTTAGCCTGTGGAGGCATCAAACACTTACAAGGTCAGACCAAAATTTTTGTGTTACAGTTTAAACACTATCTTGGAGACATTGTGGAATTGCTACATGTGGCATGAGATGTAAGATGGCTGGTATTAGTGAATGAACTGAACTGGTTATACTCTCTTTTCATGGCTTTGTATACATGGTCTAAGCCTTCCTCAATTAACTCTAGTACAGTTTGCGGCATTGGAGGCATGTTAATGTCGATTGAATCTTCCAGCATCCTTACCACTTCCCCCATGGTTGGTCGCATGGAAACCTCATCTTGGATGCACCAAAATGCAACTTTCAGAGCTCTTATTAACTCTTCTTCATCAATTGCCCCATTTAATCTTCTATCTGCCAATTTAATTAGTGACACTGACCCATTTGTCATCTCCTACAAAAACCAAACATTATATGATAAATATTTATCAAGTGGCTAGATATCTCAAGTTGACAATATATCAAATGTGCCTAGAAGGAGTGAAGAAGTAACTTCTGTTTACCAAAGAGGTTCTTTTCTTTTGCTAACTTCTCTCAATATGACAATTTTGATTGAATGAAAATGTAAAAACTCTTTGTACTAACAATGCATAGACTATTTTCTCATAATAATAATAATAATAATAATAATAATAACTAGTATCTAAGTATACCTTGTAAGCCCAACCAGGGTAAAAGAAGTCCTCAGCACCAAATGACATGTCAAGATTTCTCCTACCACCAATGATCTCTAAAAGAAGCATCCCATAGCTGTAAACATCAGCTTTTACAGTTATAGGGCGATTACTAACCCATTCTGGTGCCAAATAACCTCTAGTGCCTCTGACCATTGTTACCACATGAGAGTGCTCCCTTCCCATCAATTTGGCCAGTCCAAAATCAGATACTTTAGGACAAAAGTTTTCATCTACCAATATATTTTCCGGTTTGATGTCACAATGTATTATCCGATCCCTACACTGCTCATGAAAGTATGCAATCCCTTGTGCAGTAGCTATGGCTATGTTGAAACGAGTTGTCCAATCTAGCAATCTATTTCTCC